AACATTCTCCTCTGAATCAATCCACGGTTGAATATCAAATGGCCTTTTCAATTGCACAGCCCTGGGCGGAAACGGGCTTAAAGAATCTAAAACAGAAATATTAGTGTTATTATCAGTTCAAAGCTGCTCAAGGGTCAAATTAGATAGCAAAATAACACAACCCATCAAGAAATGAAAAGCTAGAGAAGTATTAAAAATAAGAATAAACAATAAGAGAAACATATAATAATCTTTCTGCAAATCCAGGTGATAAATATATTGTTAGTACACCTAGCATAATATCCCTCCTAACCAAGAAACTGTTCTAATTGTTCACTACAGAGAACAAGAAATTATTCCAACCAGACACATTCAGAACATTCATTATGTTAGTGGTACCCAGTATTTCCTTTCAAATGGTAACGTTGAGGGCAAAAAAGAAAACAGTTCAAGAGAGAGAATACTTGATTACAACCAAGAAGAAAGTAATATAAGAGTTTTAGTTTTTTTCTCTTATCCAAAATGCTTACCAATTAAAGTACAAATTAAATTCAAGGCAAACAGACAAATGCAATTCATGTGAGATTTTCCGCAAATTGTTGGGGGGTGGGGGGAGCTCAGGATAATCTGAAAATATATTATTTTCAACTGTGAAGTATCACTAAACTTTATGGTATATCTAATCCAAAATGCTCACCAGACAAATGCAAATCAAGTGACATTTACCTCTAAATGACTCAAGATTTTGCAAGCTATCATGATCAAGATGAGTAATTTTGTGTATTCCCTTCCTAGCAGCAGCCAACTCCAAGAGTTCTAGCTGTTCATCATCAAGAAGATCCATAGACTCTTTAGCAATTTTCCGTGTAGTTGCCTTCTCCCTGGCAATTCTACGTCTCTCTTCCTCTCTCTCTCTGCGAAGGTCTTCCTTTTGTCTCTTTCTCTCAGCCTATAAGGTAAACCCCCAAAAATTAAAACTTACTATAAGAAAGAGAGAAAATGTTCATTTATTATTAAGGTAATTACATTGTCTGCAAAATACTCCTACTCTTAAATATTCTTTCTGTAAAAACTTGTCTTCTTTCTAGTTCACTTTTCTGCCCTCGCTGTAATCTCTCTTCTTCTCGCTGCCTCTCACGCATCAACCTCTCTTCTTCCTTCCTTCTTTCACGTTCATGCCTTTCCATTTCTTTCCTCATTCTCTCTTCAATCTGAGAAAAACAATTTTAATAATGAGCCAATATAGAGGATTCCCACAGTATCATTTCGCCTTTTATGGTCAAGTTTCTCAAGCTCTTTCCGAATCCTATTCTCATGCGCCTCAACTTCCCTTGGAATTCTATTTTCATCACTCTACAAGAAAAAGATGATAAATGAAATAGATAATTTACAGAATTAGAATCATGGAAGGAAATAGATAATGTACATATCATACCAAGCTAGGCACCTTGCGCTTCCTATCGATCCGTGGATCAGCATCATTATTCAAAGTTTGCTCGGCAGAAAGCATATATGAATCTTCTGAACCCAAAACCGGATGGCAAATAGACTGAGCATTTCTCCCGTCTGTAAATGACTCCCTTTCGGCGAACGAATCGTCAGCCACTTGAGATGATGAAGGAACAGTTCCTTGTTGAGGTAACACACGAACTTGAAATCCATGACCTGGTATATTATGAATCCTGGACAATGGCTCCTCTTCATGCACGAATGATGTAGCTCTACCCCTTGCACCACTGACCGAGGAGTCATGAAAATGAGACTGAGTAACTAGTCCGTATGCATCAGATCTAAGTCTTGAATGCTCTGGAAGAAACTGATACTCATGAAAGCCCTTGCAGCGTCCTGAGATTTTGAGTTCATATGATATCAATAAGTCAACCCATATGACTAGGTAATACAATTCTCAAAACAAGAACAAACTGAATCAGTGTACCTCCAAAAGCATCGGGAGGCAATGGATCGAACTCCATGCCAAGCATAGGCCCATCATCCCTCAATGGCTCCCCCAACTGTGTCTCCACACAAGCAATTGCTCTGAGCTCCATTATAGACTGCTGTGACTCATAATACCTCCTAACAGTTGGCACATCCTCCATCAACTCCCGAGAAGGGCTTCCCCCTAACTTCCGTGAGTCCATATACGGACTGGAACCCGACCCCGACCTGGATCCATATTCCAGTCCAGGCCCAGCCCGCAAATCATCAATGGGAGATCCAGGCGGTAAAGCGACACCTTTTCGCTGTTTCTTGGAAGGAGTTTCCTTCTTTTCTTTCAATCTCCGGTGACAAAACCACATCTGCAGCTGCCGGTCTGATAGTCCCAATATCTCCGATTCCGATGGGTATGTCTCCTCTAAGAAAAGAAAACACACCAGAAATTAAAAAAAAACAACTATAAATTAAGAGAAAGATATTGAAGAACATACAAGCATAAGCTTTCTCGAGAGCTTCGAGTTGAAACGGAATCTTCATCTGTCGTTTACGCTTAACCTTGCCTTCATTGGAACTGCTCACGTTTTTACTTGGATTGTTGATCTGATTGTTATTGTTATCATTATTATTATCCTCTCCTGAACCAGCCTCCATCGAAGCAGATCCAATAATCAAAGAACAAAACTTAGGGGTTCAAACGAAAAGCTCTTTTTTTTTTATTATTATTATTATTATTATTTTTTCTTTGTGTCTCCTTCTCCCATTACATATGAAAATTGAATTTTGTTGTTATTGTCGTATCTTTGTATCTAATAACACACGAAATATCGTGAAAGTCGAGAATGGATGAGAATTATGATAAAAAACAAGAACAATGAATAACAAAAAAAACAAATGAAAAATTAAAAGGATTATAACAGTGAAATTTGGAGCAAAACAACGACAACAAGAGGCTTCCTCCAGTCCAATTACACATTCCATAATAACAAATTTCCTCTTTTTTGCAACACTAATTAATCTTAAAAAGTAAACTCAATCCTTTATTTCTTTTATTTTTTTCATCGAATTTGATTTATTTTTGGGTGTCAGATGTTAAAACACTGTGTTAGCGGTGGGATTTTCCCAAAAGAATTTATTAAAATTGAAATCAAACTTCATTAATTTACAATTTTTCTTGTAAAATCTTCACTCTGTAACGAAGAACAATTTCCTTTTCACTGATCTTCAACTTCAACATTATTGTTCGAGGTTTATTTATGGTTTAGATCACTGTATTCTTTACAATTTTTAATTTAGTCCCTAAAATAAAAATGAAACTTCAATCCCTTTAAAAAAAGTACTCATTTTACAACAACTTTTAGTTTATTTTTAGCTATTAGTTTTTGGATAAGTTGGTGCTTATATTATCCAAGAAAGCAGCACAAGTTGCTACAAACAAATACAGCCTATGAAAGGGATACCCCAAATTCTAAAGGATCCCTCGATTAGTACACAAATACATATTAATCCTTTCATTTTTATATATACAATCTAATACGAATTATCTCTTTCATACACTCAACAATGTCATCAATCAAACGTCTAACAGCTCTAAATTATTTTTGATTGCACTCCTACCATATGCAATACAGAGAATTGATCCTAACAAGCTTAAGGATTCGAACACTCAGAGTTTTCCCTTCAAATTATCCACCGCCCTCAACAATCTATCATCCCAACGTATAGTTGATTAATCCAAATTATATTTTATAAAAGTTCATTATGGAAGTGAATTTCTCAACCAAATTTTTTCTATTCACAATATTATGATTCAAACTTTTGACTTTTATTTAAAAAAATTAGTGTCTCACCTTACTAAATTAATCGGTAATTGATTTAATAAATAACAATTTTAATTGACTTTTGTAAATTGAATATTTATTGTAAATAGAATTTTGATTTTGAAATCAACATGTTGAATATAAAATGTTATGTGTTCAAGTTTAGCCCTAATTCACTAACAATGGTATCAAATGGATTATGTTTAGGGACTAAAGTCATAAAACTAAACTCAAGTGGATTAAATTTCACAAGTTAGAAGAGTGCAGGACTAAGAGCATAATTGAACTTTTGTTATATATTAATTTTATGGGTAAGATTAAGGTAAATGGTGAATTTCTTTGACTGGGCATCTTTGATTTATAAAGTGGTGTTCTTTGAGTATAGAAATAATTTTAAATTACGGACCAAACTAATTTAGTGATTAAAAATATTATTGTTATTTTTAGATATTTTAGATTCGAGCATAAAAATATTATAAAAGTAATTGAGATTTCATTATCAAATGAAGAGTATTTGAACTTTCATTGTCAAACGATTGAGAATATTTGAAATAAATACTATTTTACAACCACTCTAAAATAATAATAAAAATCTTTTAAAGTATGGATCAATGGACCTCAATATGTTATTTAAATTAGATTCTAGATAAAATTAACAAAAAAATAATTATTTAAATATATATTTTATTTAAAACATTAATATTTTAATCTTAACCTTTATTGAATGGCCTGACACTTAATCTCGTTAAATCAACTTATAATTAATTTTGTTTTATATTAATAAATTTTCAGGAATACTAGCCAAGCTGACATTGGAACTGAACACAAGTTGTTCGAAGAAATGACTAATTCTTTCGTTTGCATACTCGGGCAAAAGAAAATAAAATAAGCTATGGGATTGCCTGATGTGATGAAAAACTAATGGTATTGAACCAAAGGATGGGCTTTTTTTCCCCAGAAGCCATGGATTGCTGATCGCACACGAGTTATTCGAAGAAATTACTACAATAGATTGTTCTTTGTGGTTTACATATTGATCCTTGATACATGGTTTATGCCAATAAAAGAATATGAATAATGCTATGGGATTGCATGATGAGATGAAAATGCAATGGTATTGTGGTAGAGGATGGGCGTTCTTCAGAATCCATGGAAATGTTTCGGTCAATGGGCTGTATTACTGATTGCGCATTAGTTGTTCGAAGAAATGACAATAAGAGAACTTAACAATGTTGTTATATTGAATTTTAAACAGATTCATATAAATCAAAGCCATAAAGCCCCGGCATCTCTCAAAATAGACACCAATTCACCGGAGATATGAGTCGATATAACCTTATCCCATCCGTCAAACAATTTCCCTCCGACGAAAACAGCCGGAAACTGCTCGATACTTCCGTTCCTTCTATCATCGTTGATTCTCGATAGTTCATTCAGCAAGGCCGCTTCCTTCTCTTCCTCAACTTCGCAGACCATCGGTTTCGCCCCTAGCTCTAATAGCAATCTCTTCACGACATGGCACATGCAACAACCACGTCTACCAAATACTATCACCGAATTCTCCGACACCAATTTTGTTACTCCCTTTCCGGTATCACTAATAACAACTCCCCCATCCCCGCCACCGAATTCACTTATTTGATCAATGTTGGTCGTTAAATCTAATAGTTTTTTTAACCGTTTGATGTCGTATATCATATCACAGTGTTGTCAAGTGGCATTTTTAATATTTTATTATTTTTAGATTTTTTAAAATAAAATTTCTATGTGAAAAAACCATAGTGTTACGTAAAAATAATATCTAAGAAAAAACCGTTAACATTCAAAATAAGATCGAAGGGATTAATTGATCTAATTCCACAATTCAAAAGTTTAATTAATGAAAGATTGAAGTAGAAGAACTTAATTAGTTGAAAAAATGGACTTAATTGATCTTTAAAAATATTTGAGAGCTTCATACAAACTTAAACCCATATATTTTGATTTTTTTTATATTCATATTGTATTTTATCGTATATATTATATTGTGTTTTAAGATTATCAAGTGAACTGTTTAAGGGTTAAATTATTATTTGACTAAGATCTAAGTATAAAATTAAAAGCATTTAGATAAAAACTAGATATGAAAAGTAATCATAGACAAGCTTGAAAGTTACTTAAAATATAAATAAATTTAAACTTCAACATTCAATCCTCAAATTTAATCTTACCTAATCCGTTTTATGATATAAATTTAGGATAATAACTACCACTATTATATTGTTTATAACATGACTTTTTATTTACATTCCAAGAATATGACGTGGATATTTATTTACTTCCACGTTTTTCTTGTATTTTTTAAAATCAAAGTTTGAGTTGAAAAAGTCAAAAATAAATTTTCCTTTTGGGTATGGTATTCCCACCTCTTCTAGACGTTGAAGTGCAACAAAATTAATTAGAAAAAATATCCTTTTTTTTTATAAAAAAAATATCCTTTTAAAAAAAAAACTATTTATTGTATTAACATGTTGATCACATGGGTAGGCACATGTTCTAGATGCCACAAAATATAATTACATAATAAAACACCCAACAACTTACTAGTTTGGTCTTCCCAAAGAAACAACTTACAAGTTTAGGGAGTGTTCATAATTCAGTTAAAATCGAATTAATCAATTGAATCGAAATTTCAGTTAATTAATTTTGAGATCGATAATGATTTTTTAAAATTTCGATTATCGATCAATTCGGTTTGAAATCAATTAATTAACTGAAATTATTAAATATTTCATATATTATATATATTATTTAGTTTTAGGAGTGTTTAAACTTTTATTTTAACCGAATTAACCGAAAATATTAAATATATAATATATATATTGCTTATAAATTTCGGTTAATTCGGTTAACCGACCAATTAACTAAATTTAGTTCGGTTTGATTAACTCTTTTTGAAAAAAAATCGGTTTAGTTAATGATTAAAGGAAAAAAAATTTGGTTAATGAATTTTGGGTAATTCGGTTCGATCGGTTAACTAAATTAACCGATAGAACACACCTATACAAGTTTGAGCCAAGTGGAAAAAAAGTAAACTTAAGCTTTAATTTAATATCTTAGTTTTATACAATTAGATATCTTAATTTTATTTCAAAGTTCGATTTAATACTTATTTTTATCTAATTAGAAATTTAAATTTAATTTTTTATTCAGATTAATATTTGAATTTAACTTTATAATTCAGATTTATTCAAATATATTATCTAGTGTGATATTCAATGTATAATTTCAATGTTTATTTCTCTATTTTAAACCGATAATCTCAAAAGAGAGTTCATTCTGTCAACTTACGAGTACTATCATTTTGCATTTACTTACACATCATACAAGTAGACAGCACAAATTTATGTTAAATTAAAGTATAATGATTAAATATGAAATTTCAGAATAATAGAGGGAATAAACTATAATTACACCAACTTAAAACACAAAAATCAATACCGGGCAACTAAACCGCGACGACTGATTGTTGCAGAGAGTTTCTCGGTGTTTAGCTTTCGATGGGGATGCAATGGCTTGGTGTTGGTATCAAGATAATAGAGGATAAACACCATTATTATCGAAGAAACAAACATTGGGATTGGCCCAAAGAACCAGAGAAGAAAAACAAGAGCAAAATAAAGAGATCGAAGCCCAAGTGACCAACAATCACCTCCTCCGATAACTGCTAATTTCACGGCTTCCACCGACACCTCACAGTTTGGCGTGGTTATGAGATAATTTGCATGAACGAAGTTCCTTGCCGATTGAACGAAGCAAGAAAATGCAAGGAAGAAGCAGGTTAAGAGGCAGATGAATTTGATCGACATTGTGGATTGCCTCGTATCGCCATAGATTAAGGTGCTTCGGAAGATGTTGTTCGATGAATTTCCGAGCCAGGCTCCGATTAGAGAGCCTAGAGTTAAACAAACTGAGCATAAAAAAGTTGCAGCCGAGGTGTTCGACCCAATGACTGTTAAAGCGTTGCTAACTTCATCTTTATCAGCCTGCAAACTAAAAAAGTTAAATTTTATAAAGCTCCCTGTACTATTTTCTTTTTAGTGAATTTAATCAGTGAATTTGATTTTATTAAATTGGTCTTTGAACTTTTTTGGGTTAATTTGACCCCTAAACTTAATAAGTTTGGTCAAATTAGCCTTTAAACTTTTTTTTATCAGATTGGCCCTTGAACTTATGAGTTGCTATAAAAAGTTAAAGGATCAATATGACCGAACTTGTTAATTAAAGGACCAATTTGATCAAAAAAAGTTGAAGGGTCAATTTGATCAAACTTATCAAGTTTATGTATCATTTCATATTTTAAGCCTAAGAAAAAGAAGGCACGCCAACTTTTTGGTAACACTATCAACATTTGATATATTGAATTATTAATTTGAATTGAATCTTACATAAACTCTATTATAGAGACGACATTAATTTTTGATAATTTAATTTTCTCTATTCAAAACATACATTAATTTTTTTATATAATTTTAAAAAATAAAACAAACACATGATAAATCGAAGGAAAAACTATGAATGTTTATTAGATTGTGATAATAAATTCGATATTCTTTAAATAAAATTTTAGATTAGTGCTTTCTAAATAAAAAAATAACCAGAGAACTTGTTTTTATTTAAAACATGCATCTAATTCAATTCTAGATATAATAAAATACGTAATATGATCCATTTGATACCAAGTCTCTTAGAAAAGAAGAAATGATTTTTTTTTTTGGAGAAAGTATGGTTGATGGAGTTGGAAAAGGGGGATTTACCTGCAAAACTCCTTCAACCCAAGCTTCTTTATCGTGGTTTTCGAAGCCAGTGACGGTGGTGTGAGGACGATGCAAGTACATGTAAAGGAGGAATAGATGGTAACCAAGCATGATGAGCAATCCAGCAGGGACCAAAATCAAATCCAGTTCATCCCTTTCGAAAGGCATTGCATCCGCCTGTTCACAATCTGGGCCTTCAAAGCTTGGAAATTGGCTTGATTTTGTAATGGTAATGCCAGCAGTTTAAGATATACTGTAAATCGTTTCTTGTTGTACAAGAAGCATTTCAATGGCGTCCTCGGCATTGTTTTATCTGATGTCAATCTTTGACTTTCACATTCTTGTGGAAGACGCAATACCAACTTGCCTTTTGTCCTTCTTCTTCTTAATTTATTTAGGGTTAACTACAGAAATAGTCACTTAACTATGTAAAACTAATACTTTTAGTCAATAATTTTTAAATGTTATAAAATGGTCAACAAAAATTATCAACGAATTACAAAATAGTCTTTAAACTTATCAAAATTTATTGTTGTTTTAACATTACAAGAGATGACTCATTGAGTGATCTCAGTGGTAAAAGAGAGTGTTTTTCTCTCTAGAGGTCCCGAGTCCAAGCAACTATGTTTACATGGTGTGCACGCATTGTCAATGGGCTAAGAAAATATCTGAACAAATATTATCTTGTAATTAGGCCTGTAAACGAAGAACAAACACGAACGAAAGTATATTCATGTTCTTTCATTTAACTTTAACGAAAAAATGAAAGAACGCGAATAAACATAAACAAACAAACATAAAATGTAACGTTATGTTAAACCAAGCAAAAATTATTAAAATAATATAGATGAAAATATATGTATATATATATATAAATTAAACAAATGAACATAAAGGAATGAATTATCGTATGTAAACGCACATAAACAAATGGATTACTGGACATTTCACGAACGTAAACGAACGAACGAGTCCTTTGTTCGTGTTCTTTCGTTTAATTAAACGAACAAAAAATCTTGTTCATGTTCGTTCATTTAATACATAAACGAACATAAATGAACTTTTCACCGAACAGTTCGTTGAACGTTTGGTTCGTTTACAGCCCTACTTGTAATCATCCCAAATTATTAAAAAAACATTTCGAAGGACCATTCTATAACCAGTTTACAAGGTTACAGGCTAAAAAAATATTTTGACATAATTCATTAACCTTTAATATAATTTAATTAAAAATTAAAAGTGTGCTCGCCAAAGATTGGATATAGATAGAAGTTGACAAATTGATTGTTAGAAGTTAAAGGTTGCTTAAATTGGAATCTAATCTATAGTTTAGTTTAATTATTGCAGTCAAGTTAGTCCTTTAAAATTGGATCAAGTATATAAAATGTACGTATAGACTTTCAAGCAAGTTTCGATACCTCTAGATGTTATGGAACACAAGTTTCAAATTTCGATTTTTTTTAAAAAAAATTAATTTTTTTTAGAAATTAAATCGATCGGTGTTCAATTTAATCTCAATTTATTTTAAAATTTACAGTTTTGATTAAACATATGTTTCATCGTTTTATTATTTATGATCCATATTTTGAGCAGCCTTCTAAAAATTTGGTTGAAATGTACAATTTAATTCTTGAAATTTTAAATTTTATAAATTAGTGATCTTTCTAAAATCTGACTAATATGATTCTTTTAGGATGTTGGATTTCTAAATCAAATAAGAGGTGTTGCAGTAACCAAATTCAACTTACATAATTGTTTAGTTGGTAGCTTAAACATCCAGGAAATTGACTGGCGTTCCATTTTCTCAAGACCACTTCTGGAGAGGGAATACTCAGTGTTGAATAAGCTAAAAGCACTCATATTTTCGAATTTTATTCTGCCAGAACTGCCAGATAGGATTATCTGGGTCCATGATGCCACAGGCAGGTTTTCGGTAAGCAAATTATCTGAACTTCTTATTGAGATTGATGTTGGAGATAATCAGTTCGATTTTGATAAAATTTGGGAAGTTCCTCCCAAAGTAAGAAATTTCTTATGGATGTTAAAAATAGACAGGGTCCCAACTAAAGAGTTTTTGAGGAATAGAGGAATTGATCTGGGTGACTCATCTCATGATCGTCCATGGTGTGAACAGAACTTGGAAAACTCGTACCATTTGTTTTTAGGTTGTTCTGTCATTAGCAAATTTTGGCAAAGCCTATTTAGGTGGTGGGATATCCCTTGGCAGCATAGTATTTCATTTGATGACTTCCTTTACGTCTTTTTCGAAGTAGCATGGTCTGGAACTATAAAATCAGCTTGGTTAATCTCAATTGCAGCAGCACTCTGGAGCCTTTGGCTTGCTCGTAATGAAAAAGCTTTTAAAGCCAAAACTATCCACCAGAATGACTTGTTTTTTTACACAATGATGCGTGCTTTTATTTGGATAAAAGGAACAAATGAAAAGTCTCTGATTAGTGAAGAGAATTGGTGGACAAATCCGAGGCCTTGCTTAATTTCTCATGGTGGTAAGCATGTAACCCCACAAACCGATAAGGGTAACCAGATCCGATCCGGGATGTCACATTTGGGCCACCGGAGCAACCCACTGTAAAAATAGCGGAAAATTTAAAACTTTTATCGAAACGTGTAACTTATAAAATCAGTTGTCACTATTTAAAAATAAAACAAATTTTCAGACTCGTATATAAATCAAAATACAATTACATGACCCCTAATCACATGTACCATACTCTGCAACAACGCCGGAAGAACTCCCTTACTGAAGTCGATAGATGCACTGAAACAATTCTTTTAACTTGAAAATGTGAGTAATAGAGTGAGCTTTGGAAAGCTCAGTAATACAGAACTACCAGGTGATGCCGATGAACATGCAGATACATATAAATATATATTTCCTTATTGTTTTCGAACATTTACAAATTTTTATGCTGAGCAGAGATCCTACCAATATTTCAGGTGGTAACGGACAATGAGCTTTCAGTTCAGAGAAATATTTCAGATGACTGAGTTCAGGAGATCAGAATAGGTTATCTAGTGTGTTCCCAAAAATCATGTAACTTTTCAGATCTTTTTAAAACATATATATATATATATATATATATACCCCCATCCGTCAAGTCCAAAATGTGTAGGTTCCCTAGAACCATACACCCACCGTCAAGTCCAGTAGGCCCTGAGCATACAGCCGAGGAGCCTCCAGGTATACTTCCTCCAACATTACCCCCCAAGTAAAACATGTTCCGTCCGTAACGGATATATAAAAAATCATAACATAATCCATGTCAAGTATCAGATCAAAATCCAAGTCAAGTATCAGATCAAAATCCAGGTCAAGTATCAGATCAAAATCCAGGTCAAGTATTCGATCAGAATCCATGTCAAGTATCCGATCAGAATCCAGGTCAGGTATTATAATAGAAATCAAATCGGAAATCAGGTAAAATATCCAGGTGATTAGGGAACACACCAAAATTTACAGAAATTATTCAGAGGTACTGGATATTCTTAACAGGTAGAGAAACATGAATCTTCAGTATACCGATAAGATATCGAAATTTAGAATCATCATAGGAAAAGTTCAATAACCAACGAAATCATCAGTTATTCAGAATATGACTTGAGCTGATAAGGAAGAAATGAAGATTCAGGGCATTTATAATCTATGTCGATTGATCGCATTATCGAACAACTCTTAGATGAATAGTTCCCAGAACTAATACTTATCAACTGGTCATTTCGTGTCCTTCTAGGGCATTTACACTTTAATACCAAAACTTCTTATCCATAGATCATCTTCGGAATCATCACTGAATAAATCTTCCAATGTCTTTATTTTATTTTTACGCTTCCACTATATCATAAAATACTGACGTGTTTGATTTGTAGTTCATGATCCAGAAGAACAGTACATCGTGTATGTTTATTAACGTTTCAAGACTCATCCAAATCACTTATTAAAATCTTAGTCATTGAGGTTACTTTTTTCACTTAGTAGTCAAATCCATTCCAGTTACTTCAGAGTTTTCCAGATTAATTTAGACGTCTCTAAATTTCGGATACATATTGTACTTCTGTTCAGTTCGGTCTTCGTGGTTGATTTGTCGAACAAATATCCAATTCTTAGTGCTTAACGCGATCTAGAGTTGAGCTGAGCTGAATACTTTCAAAATTATCATCGAGCCAAACTTGAGAAGACAAACACACATTCAAGTAATATTTATGTTGTTCAGGTACTGACATATCATTAAGGTTGATCGACTCACTTAAGTTGTGTTCCATAACTTTTAAAGGTAGTACAACACCTATGCTTATTTGGATTCCTTAATTAATCCCAAACATTTACTTAATATAGGCCATAAGGTTATTTTGGTAATTTTAGTGTTCAATTTTATTTCATTCATTTTAGAGCTCGAGGATATCCAATCATTCCTGAGCTTGGTGATATTCTTGGGTCATTTTCATTACAGGGGTATTTTGGTCATTTTACATATCTACGATATTTCAATCTTTTCCTTCCATCCGGTCTTATTATTTAATTCAATCTTATCATTTACTTCAGTCCTTTCGAACAATTCTGACAGTAGAATACCCCCCGATAAACTATTCTTTAGATATTTACTCATTACTCGAATATTTTCGGGTCAAGTGCCTTCTCAGATTTTACAAACGGAATATCATGAATTTTTCTGTACAAAGACATGATCTTAACAATTAAATTCGTACTTAATCGAGTTAAGTACAAATCCTTAAAGTAATTTCTCATTCAGGGTCAACTCAGACTATTTTATCTCTCAAGGGCATTTTCGTAATTTCTTAACCAGATAATTTCGATATTAGCTCTTAACGAAAATAATATAATTTAGAGATCCTATGATTAATTGCTTTCTTGAACACTCTCTGATCTTGAAACGGTTATCTTAACAGACTTCTAGTATCATTCACAAACTCCCCTAGGATTAAAACCGTTTATCCATAATTTCCAAATAAAACTAACATTTCTTATGCACATCAATATTTTTATCAGATCAATATGTCTGTAAAATCCTCTTATCTAACTTCCATATTCAAATCTTGTCTTTTTATAACATAAGGATATTTTCGTAATTTTACCCTACCGGAGTATTCTTATAATTTCTCATCCAAGTACCTTTAACATTTAACATTTGATGAAATAAATTATAAGTTACAGATACAGGGATGATTTCTTTATCACTAATCACAAACTTGTAATTTAATCTAACAATTCCTCAATATCTTATATATTAGTCATTCGATCCGTAATCAGTTACAGAATTTCTACCACATCATATCGAGTGTATAAATTATTCAACTCCACCAAAGTGACCAACATTATCTTGTTCATGCATTTATCAATATAAACATGTTCCATAAAGCATAAAGAGGTAGTAAAGTATTACCTCGATTTTTGTGTAATACTGATCGACCAATAAATTCCATTTGAACCCGCTCGATATTGAATTCAACTTCCAATAATTCCTCAGATACATATCAACATAAATTATATCAGAAACGGAGCTTAATTGCGATAAACAGATCGAATCGGGTGATAAATAGTGAAAAATAGCTTATCGGGTTCGAATTTGGCGAAACGAACTTCGGATTCGGATTTAGGACGTCGAGAGCATAAAATAAATTTGGAATTTTCGGTCAAAATCAAAGTCAACGGGTTTGACCGGTAATTTCGAGGCTTTCGGGTTGAATTTCAAATAAACGGACTGCGGAATCGGATTTGGAACGTCGAAAAATGTCAGGATAGGTATACTCGGTCAAAGTCAAAGGTCGTTTAATGCCCGGTCAAAGCTAGTCAAAGTTTTGGTCAACAGTGGTCAACGCCGGTCAACGGGTCGGGTCGGGTAAACGGGTCTGGTTATGACCAGTCAAACCGGTCAAAATAGGAGCAAAACCGGTCAAACCGGTCATTTTTTCTTCCCCACGCGCAGTGGCGGCGCGTGAACAGTGATAAATTCCTGGAAAAATTCCTAAATTATAAGCGATTTCGAGATACTTACAAAGCTCGGTTCACAATTTTGAACGGCGGAGAGCTCGATTTCAACGAATCAGAAACTTTGACCGCTTCACCTCCTCACGCGCCACAATCAACGGAGACCAAGGATGACACCGGCAGACTCGGAACGGAACAAGGAACACGATGGTGGGGGAGGTGTCGTAAACGGATGACCCGATCGTCGTGAATCGATGAAAAACCAACTAAAATCGAATTATTACCGACGATACTTCCGACTGAAATTAACGACGAACGGTGACGATTCACGACGAAAGGTTTGAGGGGTTTTGTTCATTGGTTGACAACGAACACGATGGTGGTTTCAGCTCATCGATCGGAGGTCGGACGACGAGTAGATCGGAGTTGAAAGTTGGGTAAAAATAAATTCTGCACCACGGGAGAGGGGTTATAAATTCTCTCATTAAGGAAAATGGCTAAATTATGGGTTTAGCCACTGAATTTCATATACTTCTTAAATCATTATGTAAACTTTAAAATTTTACAATTTAATCTCCACTTTCTTCCAAAAATACAAATTAAATTCACCACTTTATAATTTCTTAAATTTAGCCCTTAAATTAGGGTGTTACAAAGCAACCTTCTAATTCTTGCTGTCCTCCGGAAGGTGTTGTAAAATTTAATGTCGATGGAGCGTTTAAAAAAGGGGTAGCAGGATGTGGTGGTGTATTAAGGAATTGTGCAGGTGACGTTAGAGCTCTTTTTACAGGTCCAGTTCCTAATCCAAGCGCGGAGTTTGCAGAATTATATGCGATTGTAAATGCTTTGCTAGTATTTAAGGAAGCAGGCTGGATTGAAAAAACGTCTTTAATTGTTGAATCAGACTGTCAAGTGGTGTTGAACTGGATCGACCAACCCCTCTTGAGACCTTGGAAATGGTGGCATACTTTGGAAGAGGTCGATAGATTATCTAAAGAAATTTCATGGGTGAAATTCAGTTATGTTTCCAGAATTCACAAAGGTATGGTCGATCACCTCGCAAAGGAAGAAATGAACAGGGCTAAGCTCTTCAAAGCGTCGTGTTAAGCACTGGTTGTCCTGCGTTTTCTTAATTTATCTCTTTCTTTTATGGGTGCTGATGTATGGGTGTTTCATTTGAGGTGTTCCTGAAGTTACTGCTATTTTTAGCAGAGTTGTGAATTGTTCTTGGGGCGAGCTGGGTGGATAATTGTAAACATGTGTTGGCTGTTGGAAGTCTATATTTTGTACTTATGTGTAGTGCTCTTTTCCTTACTATAGGATTAGGGAGACAAGTTTCGCTATTAATAAAATAGTAAGTTGAGAAAAAAAAACATAATTGTTTAGTAAACTTAAATTTAAATTTGCAACGATGAATAATGTATAGTATGTATGAACCCAAATTAAATATTAACTAAATTTCATATTGACAAAAGTATTTGTACTACTAATTATAATCATCCAAATTTATAATTTACTATATCACAATACACAGAAACCATTCAATAAATTAGAGGGTTAGATCAAAGTAATTGTTGCCCACACAAAGTTGTTTCCAAAATCTCGTGAAAGAGGTTAGTTTTGGTTAATCATAGCCATTTGCTAAACGTTTTACCTATTTTTGTTTCTTCTTCACCCCAAACACCCCAAACCAAGAATCAAAATCAACCAACGGAAAGGATAAGAAAATGATAACCATAACAATTAAGATACCCAAACAACATTGGGTTTCTTTTTTGTTCTTCGAATTTTGAAAATTTTGTTGACGCCAGTCGAGAAAAATAACGTAAAACAAGAGAAATGGGAGCTTATAGGGCCGATGACGATTATGATTACTTGTTTAAGGTCGTCTTGATCGGTGATTCCGGCGTTGGGAAATCCAACCTTTTGTCTAGATTCACGAAGAACGAGTTCAGCGCCGAATCGAAGTCCACTATCGGCGTTGAGTTTGCAACTCGTAGCATTCATGTGGATGATAAGGTCGTTAAAGCTCAGATTTGGGACACTGCTGGGCAAGAAAGGTAAATCATTTTGTTTGCTGTTTTGATCTGGGTTTTATGGTAAGGGATTCATTCTTGAATGTGTAGATTTTGATTTCGCGTCATCGTTTGCTTGAAATTTTATTTTTCTTCAATCGTATATGTATTTAAAAAAAATAAATCTTTTCATTATTTTTGAATAACATGAATATCATTATTTATATATAAAATATAAAAACGTAAAACGTTGTAAGGAAAATAATATTATTATAAATTAATTTAGTAAGTTTTATATAATTAATTTTACGATATATTTAACTAAAGTTTATGTGTATTTTATTATGCATCTTTTGTCATATGATTGACAATTGATATGTGTTAACTCGTATTTATTAAATTTTTGAATTGAATAGTTTCATGAATTAATTGTATCACACGTCCCTATCCTAAATTAAGATCTTTATTCGACTATGTAATTAGAGCCACTTGAAAATATATCACTTTAATAGTATCAACTATCAATATTATTAATTTGAACATACTTCATTAACATTTTAAAACTAGAGGGGTCAAATTTCATTAAATTAAAGTAGAGATATTAAATCTCAAATTTCAGCATAATAGAAGGGTTAAAGTCATAATTATATGTCATTTTTCTACTGAATTTGTTGCAAGAACATCAAACTTTCAAAATATTGTTCTAACATCCCTATGCTTCCCCTATTTTGCCAAAGATATCGTGCAATTACCAGTGCATATTATCGAGGTGCGGTCGGAGCTCTACTAGTTTACGATGTTACTCGTCGCGTTACATTCGAGAATGTACAAAGGTGGCTCAAGGAACTCCGGGACCACACCGATCCCAACATCGTAATTATGTTGGTCGGGAACAAGGCCGACCTACGTCATTTGCGTGCTGTTGATGTCGATGATGCCAAAGCTTTTGCAGAAAGAGAGAACACCTTCTTCATGGAAACATCTGCACTCGAGGCTCTGAATGTCGAGAACGCTTTCACCGAAGTGTTGGCTCAAATCTATCGTGTTGTGAGCAGGAAAGCTCTTGATATTGGAGATGATCCAGCAGCTTTACCTAAAGGTCGAACGATCAATGTCGGATCTAAAGACGATGTATCGGCAGTGAAAGGAGCCGGATGTTGCTCGTCTTGATTACAGAGATGGGTCATCTTTTGAAATTCTTTGATGCCCTTGAAAGCACACACAAATGAACATCAACATGTATTTAGCCGATTGAAATTGTGGTTTGGATTAGGCTAAAACACACATTCTTTTATGATTTTCAGTTTGAAAACACTAATACTTATTCAAAAAATTGAAATAAAAAGGAAATTAAGGGTGTGTATTCGGTCGGTTCGGTTAAAAGTCGAACTTAACCGATCAACCCTATACTTTATCATACTTCTTTGACCTTTTTTCCTCTGTTTGCTGCTAAGTACGTGAAACAAAATATAAATATAAATTGTTTTACGTTTTGATTTAAATTTTATTTATCGTACATTATAAATATACTTTAAAAATAAAGTAGTTTTGTCAATTGTATATATTTTCGCTAAATTATATAATAAGACATATGAGAAAATAAGGTAGTTTTGTCAATTTAAACTTTAAAAATTATTTATTTATAAGTTGTTTGATTGATTTATAAACTAATTATACTAGTTTTGAGACACGTTTCGTTATATTCTTTTAGATAATTTATCTTTTAATAAAAATATATATTCTTTAATTTTTTTAAATTAATTAAATTTATTTAAAATAAGTATATCATAAAAGTAATTTAAGTATTTTTAATGTAGATACTTAATATTTCGTAATAAAAGTTATTTAGAACTATAAATTAAATTAAATTAAATTAATTAAAATTAAGTGAATTTTTTCATCAATTATATAGTGGCACATGTAAATATACATTTGAATGATTAAATTTTTTAATTTGATTAGAAATTAGGATTAAATTAATAAAATATTTAAATAATAAATATTGAAAGAATAATTATACAAATTTATTTAATTGTTAAAACCCTATAATTTATTGAACATCTGAATAATTTACCCATACTTTTACAATACTGTTTAATGCACTTTAAAAAATTATAATTTTTTAATTTTTAACTGAGTTGATACATTATTTAATCCAATATAATTTTATTCAACTTTTTTCAGATTTTTGCAAGAACTAAGTGGTCTATGTGGTAAAAGAATTATTGTTATTATATGAGGACCTGAGTTTGAGAACCATAGATGCCAGAGATTTGAGCGTTCTTTGAATAGATATTGCATTGTAATTACCCAAGATTAATAAAAAAATATTAAACTTTGGAAAATTACTATTTTATATTTCAAATATTATGATTTAGTTTAAAATTGAATTCCAACCTCCTTTTTCTCTTAAACACTAGTATCTTGATTCATTCGAGTCGTATCATTATTTCTTAATATAATAATAGATTCAATAATTATTAATAATAATTATTATTGATCAAAATCTGATATTGAAACTTTTTTAGGGTTATAGTTGTATATGCTCGAATTTGATGGTCTTGAGTCGTTATATGATAGAATTTTAAAAAAATAAAATTGAGATGGATTTTACGGAAGAAGTAGTTGACTTTTGTTAGTTCACGAAAATAAAAGGAGCCTTCACACCGAGGTATGCAATTTCATGACAAAATCATTCATGTAAGACCTTTCAAGGCCCGGTGCTAAAAGAAACTCTTTCCATTTAGCATGGTTAGCTTTCGCCTCTTTCCCCAACTCACTCTCATTGTCCATTACAGCTTTCACTGCCTTGCAAACACCGTCTTTTGTAAACAGTCCATCTTCTTCACCTTTCTCCACCTCTACTCCGATTCTCAAGTCTCCGGCCATCAATCTCGCGTTGATTATTTGATCCCCAACATGGGGTAGCAGCAACAGTTGACAGTCATTCACCATTGCCTCCGCCAATGAGCCTGAACCACATTGGGTCACGAAACACCCCACAGAAGGGTGGTTTAAGATCAGATGTTGTGGCACCCAACCTCCATGGACGAACCCTCTTCCTTTTACCCTTTCTTGGAACCCTTCCGGCAAGGCTGACTCGATTGTTTCGGCTCCCATTGGTTGTTTCAGGGCAACCAGAAGGCACAAAATATCAAGGTCTTGGCTTCGAAGTTGTTTAATAGCTTTTTCCATCGTTCTTCCAACGCCATTTTCGGCGGGTCCGGCACGACCGGACCGGCGTAAAGCACCGGCTTTCATAATTGGTTTCCGATGTATTCACAATAAGGCCCTTCAATCTCCTTGCATGTCTTGAAACCGAGAGCATCACATTCACTTAAAGATCTCTGCTGACGCTTGACGAATGAAAAACCACTGCCGTAATCCATCGTTGTTACAACAGTTAATCCTCGAGCTTCGTGCGCATGTAGCTTGATACTTGAAGAAGCGAAACCTTCGGGTGGCTCGAGGAGATCGGGTCCGGTTAATCCTCTCTCGACAATCTTTCTTGCAGGGGTAAGAAGATATCCGATTGTTGCGGAGCTAATGATACAATAAACCAGGGCCTTGATCCCTAGCTTGAGAGTCAATGCCGGCAACCAGCAAGCGAAATCAAAGAAAACGAAATGGGGTTTGCGATCGCGTAGGGAAGCTTCGATCTCCGGTTCCGTGAGATCCATGGCGGTCACAAGGAGTGGATGTAAAGGGAAAGGAACTTCGTTTGTTGTTTCGGCACCAAGAGGCAAACCTTGGACGTGTGGAACGATGACCGGGATAAAGGCTATGAGATGCGGGTGGATATTGAAAGGCTCGACCTTGCGCAATGTTCCAGCGGGCAAGAAGAAGGAAATTCTGTGGCCTCGTTCTGCAAGTTTGTTAGCCATGTGAATGAAGGGAGTAATATGGCCAAGGGCCAACCATGGATACATTGCAATGTGAAAGTCTTTCTTTGCCATTGTCGATGGGTGTAGAAGACGAGGTGGAATGCTTCAAATGCGATCCATGGAGTTGCTTATATAATACAATGCCTAGAAACCTACAACGCCATGCTTTCCATAACGACGCCTAGTTGGTTTCTTGCAAAATAGGAAGGGAGTAGTTAATTTCGTTACTAATGTTACAAAAACCTTTCTAAAAAAACCAATTTATGCCTAAATTTTATAACTATCTGAACCGGCAAATTTCGTGGGATAATGGTGTGGAAAAAAAAAATCATGAGATAATGTTATTGGAGAATTAATTGTTGAGATAGAGTGTTTGCTACAGGAAGAGCATTGGTCGCCAGGAGCTCCGGGCAACGTTGGAGGTCGCCAAGTATGCCAGGCGACCTATAAGGTCGCCATGTGATCCCCACCCATCCGATTCCCTCCTGCTCATGCTGCTGCTCATCCAACGTGAATTGGAGTTTAGTCACATGCATTGTTTTTGCTTTATTCTTTTAGAAATTTAAAATCCTAATTTATGCCATTTCTATTTTTATGTTCTTCAAATACTAGGGTTAAAAAAGAAGAAATCACCCTTTAGTCCTTTTTATTTCGGCGTGTTTTCACACTTAGTTCACCATTCCTTTGTTGCTTTCTATGATGTTCGAACATGTTATACCTATTTTGCAATTCTTCATCTTTGTTTTGTTGTTCTGATCACATTTTTTATTATTCAAATCTAATGTGCTTTGTTTATTTATCTTGTATTCGATCTGGATGTCTTGCTTGTCGTTGTTTCGAATATGGTCTAATATCTCTATGACGTCAAATATCAGTATTTGTCAGTCAACGTTTCCAAGTGGGATGGAATAGCAAACTGGTGGAATGGCAGAGCATAGTGGTTGGAATATAAATTCGACTATTTATAAATATAAATTCGACTAGTTATAAATTCAATTATTTATAAATTTGATTTAAATTGAATAAATTCTATTTAAATATTTAATCATTATTAAATAATTATTAGTAATCATTATTAGTCATTATTATGATTTCATTATTACTAATTATTACTAAATCATTAGTATCAAATCATTAAATATTAATAATAAATCATTATTAGTAATCATTACAAAATCTTATTATTACTAAATCATTAAATATTAATAATAAATCATTAGTAGTATCGGTACCATTTTGAGGTTGTTTTCATGGTTTCGGTACTGCCTTAGCAGTACCGGTACTACTTAGTCTAAATTGAGTTTTTTACTCAATTAAATTATCCTATACTATTTATAAAAAAATAATATTTTAAAATATATTTTTGTGAACCCTAAACTTTAAAATATTTTGGTTATTATTGAAAACCCTAAACCCTAACAATTCTCCCTCCAATCAATTTCTTCTTATAAAAAACAAATATGTAACCACCATCGTGGTAGATATCACCATCCTCTACCCCTTTAATTGCCCTCAACATACCATGAATTTATAAAGGTTTTAGTAACAACCAAAATATTTTAAGGTTTAGGGTCCACAAAATCAATATACAACAAATAATATAAGTAACTATTGATTTTGTGAACTATAAACCTTAACCCCTAAAATATTTTGATTGTTGCTAAAAACCCTAAATACTAAACCCTTAAACCCTAACAATTCTCCCTCCAATCAATTTCTTATAAAAAAACAAATTTGTAACCACCATTATGGTAGATATCACCATCCTCTACCCCTTTCATTGCCCTCAACATACCATGAATTTATAAATGTTTTCAACAATAACCAAAATATTTTAGGGTTCAGGGTTCACAAAATCAATAGTTACTTATATTATTTGTTGTATATTTTATTTTAATAATATATTTTAAAATATTTTTTTTATAAATAGTATAGGATAATTACAATATATCATCACTTTAGGATGTTGAGATGAACTCACACTCCCACTCGGTAGAGAATATTCAGCTTTATCAAATTAATATTTTATATAGAAAATACATATAGGTTATATATAAGATAAGGCACCAATATACAATGTATAGAAACTAAATATGTAAAAAAATATAAATAATTCGAAATTAATAAAATAATAAAAAAACGATGACAAAATTGTAAATAATAAGAGATATTAGACCAAATTCGAAACAACGACAAGCAAGACATCCGGATCGAATACAAGATAAATAAACAAAGCACATTAGATTCAAATAATAAAAAAATGTGATCAGAACAACAAAACAAAGATGAAGAATTGCAAAATAGGTATAACAGGTTCGAACATCATAGAAAGCAACAAAGGAATGGTGAACTAAGTTTGAAAACAAGCTGAAATAAAAGGGACTAAAGGGTGATTTCTTCTTTTTTAACCCTAGTATTTGAAGAACATAAAAATAGAAATGG